TGCAGAGGTGGCATTGGACGTAAGTGTGAAAAATGGTCCCATGTCTTTTTTTTTTTTTTTCAGTGCTGTTGTAAGTTCGATCAGTCACTAAACAAGCTGACATTGGCAGCCAAGTCCAACCTTCTGGTTTTAAAGCCGTATTAGTTACTTTAGGAATGGATACTCACTGCAGAGGCTCGTTACGGCAACACACAACAACATGGTTGGAAAATGTTCTCTCTTTGGGACAACACATTTGGGGGCTGGAAAAAAAATCTTTTTTTAATGGCTTGGCAAGGTGCGTCCAATTTCTGGAAGGCGGCCTCAGCATTCAAGGCCTACTCATTACATGGGAGTAAAGTCTTGGCATCCCAAGAATTAAGCCAGCATGCTTTAAGAGGGGAGGACTTCAACTCCCAGAATCCCCCAGCCAGCCATGCTTTAAGCAGGGAAGACTTCAACTCCCAGAATCCCTTGGCCGGCCTGCTTTAAGAGGGATGGCCCTCATCTTATTTTGCAGGCTAAGGAGTCCTGGGAGTTGAAGTCCACCTATCTCCAAATTTAAGATCAGTGGACTTCAACTCCCAGAATCCCCTTCCTTCCTTCCTCCCCCCCCCCCCCCCCCCTTCCAGAATTCCCCACTTTATCTCTTCATCTCTTATTTGTGGTGTTGTGTGTTTTGTTGCAGTGATGTGTTGTTGTAGTGATTGTGTCTCTCCAAGGTCCCTTCCAACTCCGTCAATCTATGATTCTGTCAGAGTCTGCTGGCTGAAGTTGGGGGTTGGACTAGATGACCTCTGAGGTCCCTGCCAACCCCGTCCTTCTATGATTCGATGACCCACAAACACGTTCACGCTGTGTGTTGACACTCAGTGGTGATGTCAGGCCGACTTGTAAGTTGATTGCCGTCCATTTTTGTCTGTGTGATTTGAATTGCGTTGTGGGTTCGGAAGGGAGCTACACAAGCGCTACACAACAGTGGCTTTGGGTTGCCGAAGAGTTGTCGCCTCAAATCGACGTGGGTCCCAAAATGGGATTGCAACGTTAAAAGTCCTTGACTTGCAATGCTTCATTTTGTGACCATTCCCTAAGTTCCAACGGCTGTGGAAAAAGGACTTGTGGCTATTTTTTTCACACTCAATGACCATGGCAGCATCCCCATCATCAGGTGATTCCCAATTTGGACAACTGGCCACTTGACTCATATTGATGACGACCTAGATCCCCTCTTGTGACCTTCCAACAAAGCAAATTCAACAGGGAAGCCAGATTCGCTTAACGACTGGGATGCTAACTGCAGGGATTCCCTTAGCAAGTGCTGCGAGAATCGTAATCAAACAGGGCAATACCCCACTGGAGAATCTGTCTCGCTTAGCAACAGAAACGTTGGGCTCCCTTTACGGTCATAAGTCGAGGACTCTCTTGTAACGGGGGATTGACATTTGACGACTGTGTTACAGAGAATGGCAGTGATTCATTGAACAACTGCAAGAAAGGGTGTAAAGTGAGGCAAAGCTCACTTAATGACTGGTTAGCAGCTGTAATTTTAGAGTCTGTTGGTCGTAAGTCGAGGACTTCCTGCGTTTTCTCGTGGCTCTGTGCCAGCATCTGGGCTTATCACGGCTATTAAACCAAGCAGATGATAAACTTATTTTTTACAGAGATGCAGGCTGTCAATTTTGGGGCGCAGCCAAATTTGGTCCCCTGGTGTGGATAAGTACAAAAAGCCCCAGAATTTTGTGTCTTAAAAAATTAAAGTAGGAAAGAAAGAAAGAGAAGGAAGGAGGGAGGGAAGGAAGGAAGGAAGGAAGGGGGAGAGAGAGAAAAGAAAGAGAAAAAAAGACACAGGTGATTAGAGAGAAAAAATAAAGAAAAAGAAAATGTATAGACGTGTTGAGTCCCTTACTCTTTACTCTTTATGGGCGTGACTGCGTTCCCACTCACGCTAGTAACACTCTTGCTAAATTTGCAGATGATACAACCGTGGTGGGACTTATCTCCGTGGTGGGGGCGGGGGGGGGGGAGACTGCCTGCCGAGGAGGGGGGGACCAACCGGTTGCTTTCGT